ACTGGCGCCCACTTGACAATGCAACTTGGAACACATAACAGATGATAAAACCGCCAATGTGACACATAGATGTGTATACATTATTATTATGGCTGTAATCTATTACATATATTTAATCATACACTAAGTCCAAATTGTTTGATAAAAGGTGAAAACCAGTCGAAAAACATTTTTTTCGGACTTGCATAGACTTTTCGTTTAATGTCACCCCAAACAAAAAACTCAGTTTTAATGGAATATATTCAACTAAATCATAGCAATCATTATTAAGAAATTCCAGAAATGTACCCGCATTGAGTCGAAGCGGAAAGAAATGTAGACCTATTAAAATATTGACTATTATCCCCAACCACACATAGTACTGAACCTATTGCTGAAAATGATGCTCATGAATTGCATAGGAATTTTCCTGTGACCAGAGATGATTATTCTTCTGGTTGAAGATACTTCTTATTGTAAATGTAGCTTCATCTGTCCAGATAATTATTTCTGAAAATTTTGGATTATGCACAACTTGATTTAAGTACCAATCTGAAAAAAAAATTCTGTACCCGTTGATAATGATATTTGTGAAGTCCATCTGCAATGAGAGTTCTCCATACTGTAGTTGTCCTAATATTTAATTCTGCTCCAGCTCTTCGTACACTGCCAGATGGATTATCATCAAAATATTGTAATATGGTCGCACTATTAATAAAGATTGTAATGTCGCAGCACGTGGTATTATAGTTTCAAGACGTTGAAAGGTGGAGCTAAAGATAGCCTTGTTTCCTAATCTTCTATACGGAAATTGCCTTGCATATTCACGAAGGACAGCATTAGAATTACCATTGCAAAAACAGTATACAAACACCATTTCGGCATATTCACCATTAGTATAAATGGAAGGTATAATGATGAGTACACTGCGAAAGCCTCTTACAAACTAATAAATGTTATTGAGAGTTCCCAATGCTAATTCCAAAAAGTATTAATCCTTATGTTGCCAAAGTTTTTATACAGTTAGGGATAAAAGGTCATATTAGTATTCTATCTAACTCATCTCCTAAACAAAGCGTTTGCGGACATACATTCACTTTGAACAAGTGACATACACTACTATGAATGTTAATGTTTACATTTAATTAATAAAGTAGTTAGAACAAATAAATAGGCTTTCTTTATTTTATATAATGTAAATAATTCACAACAACGAAAATCTTTTGGTGTGAATATCTCCTAAACAAAGCGTTTGAGGACATACCATATATCAGAGGAATTTTATTTCTTATTTTGAGGTCCTTGGTTAATTTTTGCAGTTTGGCCACTTAATCCTGAAACACTGTATATATATATACTTATATTTCTCGACGTTGGATAAGCTTCATTGTTTTACTACCTATAGGTTACAGTGTATGGAATATTTGGATTATATAATTTTAAAAATAGTTGGAAAAATGTTTTTTAAGTGGTTTTCAGCTTTCATCAAACTATTTGGACTTAGTGTATGATTAAATATATGTAATAGATTACAGCCATAATAATAATGTATAAATATCTGTGTGTCACATTGCGGGTTTTATCATCTGTTATGTGTTTCAAGTTGCATTGTCAAGTGGGCACCTGTAATAATAATTTCGTCTGATTCATCATAAAACCAGGAAACTAAAATATGATAAATTTTATTTTTATTAATAGTAAATTTTTTTGTTGATTTTTCTACAAGCACGAATCGTACAATGATTTGTCAAATTTGTTTAAGAGAATGATTTGACGATTTCAAGTGAGTTTAAAGTTCACGAATCATATTACAATGTTATTGTTTTGAATTTTAAAACCATATCTTAGCGACCAGACGATCACGTTTTCATAATCAAAATTCTGGTCTCTTTTTAATATATCTTCCCCTCATGTATATTAAATACTAGACACGTAAGATTTTTGATGGATGGAGGACGGTTTTAATATAAATAAGGATTACTATTGTTGTTAAAAACGCTGCAAATTATAACACAATTGTTTATTATTTCCATAACGTTTCAAATATGTATCGTTACATTCCTTATCACTTCTGGGAAATATTAAAAAGAAACGTTGCCTAATTAAGATTTTTAAGATATGTTAAGATACTCAGCACCAATTTGTACTATTTCTATGATTTGTTTTTATTTTTTTCATAAAACTTCATTATCTTTAATAAAGTATACACACACGAAAACTGGAAACATTTAATCCAATTCGCTAATAAGGTTTTACATCCATCGTAACTTTTTTCCAGCTTATTTTTGGACAAGTACATTATATATATAAATCTTTATGGCTTGAAAGAAAATACTTCAGACAAGTTTCATTAAAATAGTTACAGCCGTTTCGGCGCTTCGGACTGTTACGGCACAGGTTTTTCGGCCTCCATTTTAGAAGGAGAGCGTGGTACTGTCGATCATCCTCGTGTGAACTACGAACTTTTGGTATGTTTTTCGTGATCGATTATAACGATTCAATATTGAAAATAAAAAAAATCTGAATTAAATAATATGATTTACTCGTTCAATACAATCTACATACATTGTATTCATTTTCCGAAATCTCAAATTCGGCACACGGCCTAAGAACTCAGCATAAATAACTTACCAAGGAATTTACAAAGAACTTCTAAAACGCTGCTGCTCACCTACAGATTAATATAAACAAAATTTAAATAGTAGTTTAGGATTATTTTTTATTTAATTAATAAAACTACACACAACTTTAATTGATTAAATAAAAACAGATTATATTTTTACTATTAATGGATTGCCAAACGTGCGATTTATTAAATCTTGAAGTTTAGAGAGGATTAAAACATTATCTGTTGATTTTCAGAAAAATATTATTTATGTACTAATATATTAAAAATATCTATGTTTCTATGGAGCCATAGATACAGATAGTAAATATTTTTAATAAAGTATAGTTGATATGTTTGTCATTTTTTACATTTATTTATCGTTTTTTGTCCTCCCTTTCCTTGCCTCTTAGGCTACACGAGTTTTTTCCCGACCGGAGGAGAGGGCGGAGAAGTTATGCCGAGTTCAAAGTTCCACCGGGCACCGTGATTTGAACTCGTAATTATTTTTTTATCTAAAACTTCGGTTATCAGGTTACCGGGCAACGCGCAGTGCTGTGCACACACGTTGTCACGCTCGGCCACCCCGCTCTCAATTTCCTGCTTCTAAAACGCTGGTTTCGTTCGTGTCGACCTTCTCCTAATATGACCTTCTTCTGGAAGATAATCTCTCCCAACTGCTACATATATAACCATAAAGTAAAATAGGAGATTAGGAGACTGTCCGATTCGTCACTGTTATCCAATTTGTTATTTCGGAAACTCACTTAAAAAAATGTATCATAAACCTCGTCCAACTGTTGACTCTTGCTAAATGCTAAACTGCATTAGCGTTCTCGATCATTTCGACAAGTAATTGCGACAACCAGTTGTGACGAAGGTTTGAGAACTATTGTTGGTATTGTGGGAGCAATGCAACTGTGGCCTATGCATTTCCAATGGGTTCGTTCAGAGCGCTCGCCGTTTTGTCGTTGTATTAGCGATTCCGCTTTGTTACACTCATCACCAGGCCATGACTAATGATGGGATAATCGATTTATTCCCAACAATGGGCTCATGTGATTGAAGTAGTCGAATGCTAATTTGAACATTAATCCTCAAAAGTGATTTTTACGTTTATTTGAATTTATTGTAATTCATTCGAAATCTATATAACATGTTACCATCTTAAAGTTTGCGTAGTTATACCAAAATAAAATAATAATTTATTCTTGAACTATTTCTTTCCGAGTTGATAATGAGGTAATTAATGAATTGTGGCTTTTAGCATTTAACTGAAAATAAATTAATCCTAAAAAAACAATTAAATGGCGGTACTCAGATGAGTCTGAAGACCACGGGTGCGATGGATGGATGGTTTGTCAGCAGTTGCTTGGTATTCTACCTCTGGGAGTTTTCGATCTCTTCATCGAGGTTTAAAGATATTATAAATTATTTGATAAGTTAAAAAAAAAATCGTTGTTATAAAAACATCAGTTTTGAATGAATATTAAATTAATGTTAACATTAGCTTTCACAAATGCGAACTGTTGGAGATGTTAGGTGGACCATTCCAAATGCCTGCTCGTGGATTTCATCCGAGGTCATCACGTATGCACTGCCCGACCTTCCCAGCTTGTTTTCCATCTTTGCCACACATGATTTGACATACTTCATAGAATGATATTAATGTAATGACATGATTTATTACAAAATGATAAATATCTAATTAGTCTTTTGATGAACATGTGTTTTAGTGGTGGCGAAAAAAAAGGAAATTTTTAGAATTAGCAGATAAATTGAAAAAGTGTAATTTGAAGGAAAACACGATTCTGCCGTTGGTAATTTCATTCAACAGGCTCAATAATCTCAATTTTTAAGACTGATAAGGAAGTTACCACCCTAAATCTCGAACGAGACCCTTCACACTTAAGCATTCCGAAAGCAACAACCCATGATAAATTAATTGGACACATAAACAAATTTATACAACAAATGCCATTCTTGATGTGCTTCAGTGTAGGTTGAAAAGGAGTTGGATGAAGGACCTCCTAGTTTAATAATAAAATTTAGGTCATTCCTCATGACCTCATGCCTACCCATAACATTATATTAGGTTTATTATATTTATGTTATGTATGTTTTATATTAGCTCATTTTTTTTTTATAAGCTTATTTATTGAAATATATTACAATCTGTCTCAGGGACATTAATAATAGTGTTCACAGATCACATTCACACTCTATGTACAGTAAATAAAATAAATTATACAGAAAAATAATATATATACAATGAATAAGAATAAAATAACCTAAAAATAAATAAATAAAAAGAACAGATGCACACCTATATAATTAGCATTTTAATATTTTACAGGTAGAAATAAAATGTTTAAGGCATTAAAAAAAAAGTGAAACAAATAAATAATTATATGACTTATTCTTTCTTCTTACTACGTATGACCAAACTGTGGCAACTAACATGTATCTCGAGTATATATTTAATCAGGACGTTAGTGATCAGAGGAGGCCAGGATCCACTAAGGGTTGTAGAGCCATTAAGATAGATAGATAGATTAGTGATCAATGCTGACTTTGCAAAGAAGCAATAGAGTCCATCCAGTACATAACAACAGGCGGCACAATAATTGCACGAAAAGAATACCTTTAAAAGTATAATAAGTTAGTAAAAGTAACTCATAAAAGTGTAGTCAAATTTTATAAATTTTCTGAGGGATGAAAATCTTACTATCGTTACAGCCCGCAATTTATCCTTTCTGATAATGAAACAACCATCTATTGAGCTCAACCTATAATTACTCATCATATTGTGCTAAACATAAACCAGATATTCTGGTTACACTTAAAAAGGAAAAGACGGAACTGAAACAGTTCCCAATGGTGACAACATTTAAAAAGAGGTCGTAGAAAATACCAAAATCTCTGTGAGGAACTGAAACAACTACACAGCCTAAAATAAGGAAAGATGTCTCCCTCCATAATTTCGAGCAACGGATTGGTACCAGAGAAAACTATATTTTTATTATTATATCCTAGAAGTTCAGAAAGATGTGCTATATGGATAGCCAATATAGTTACATTTTTTTTTAATATTTCATAATCAGAACCTATCTTGAGACTCATTGTCCGGGAAGGTGAATATTCCCAGGATTCAGGATTCGCTGAGGAAGTGCGAAATTATGAAAATAATAATGTTCTTCATTTATTTTGTATTTTAGAATAAAATAAAGTTATAGAATTGTGGACTTAAGGGCATCAGAGCTAACAACATGTAGCAAAATAAACAAATATAAATAATAAAAATTGAAATTTAACTTTAAACATTTTTAAATTTAAAAAAAGTGGAAGACGCATGAAATAATAATAATTTAAAACCGACCAATAACTTATGTACATATTTATAGAAGAATACATTTGAAGGTGAGGAGGGTATTTGAGCGACGGACGTAGGAAAGGATGGAGTTCCATAGAGGCAAGGATCGAATAATGAAAGATCTGTCGAAAGCCGCAGTCCGATGAGCCGTTAAGTATAAATCTGAAGGCTGAGAACGAGTTTTACAAAAATAAACAGCGGATTTGAATTACAGGAGCTCGGGGGTGTATGAGGAACTGATGACTGATCCCGAATTGGATGACTTGGAAGAGGAAGAAAACTAGGAAAATGACGATAGGAAGTCACTTCAACTCTTCATCGAAACGAGAGACAGAGGCATCCCCAGGGATTCCGTAAATTAATTCTTTCATAGTGGTCAAAATAGTAAAATAAGCAAAAATTAATTAATATAGGCCTATAGAGGAAAGTACGTTTGTGTATCCATGAGCGATGTAATTTATTTATTGTATCTATTCTCTTATTAATATGAGATGCAATTTGATAAAATTGATACTTGCTCATTTTTTCACTAATTCAACTCTTGAGTTATTAGAACGAAACAGTTTTGATATATAAGTGTATCATAATAGGTTGATTTACATCCGGAAGCGGAAATAGAGGAGGTAGTTTGATGAAATTGATTTTGGGTCATCTAGATCTCTTTCAATCCTACTACCAATAGAAACATGACAAATATTTCATAAATTTTCGATTCTGAGTTATTAACTCTTAGCGCTAACCTAACTTTAACCTTCAGCAGGAATACAAGGTTTGCCTAACTTCAGTAATGACGAAGCAAAAGTGTATCCTTTAATAAAATAAACTGTTGATTTTATCTCACTTTTTGACCGGAAAATGAATTCAAATTCAAGTGTTCTGATCTCAGAATTATTAAAGAAATCTTATTTCATAAATTATTTCCCCTTTTTTTTTTTTAATTTTGCCATCGTATTTGTTTTCATTAATTAATAACAAAGTTTGTCTTGGAAATAATATTTATTTACTTCCTTCAAGAGAACCATAGAATACAGCATACGGCCACCAGAACCACCAGACTTAAGCATTCGGCACCCACGGGCAATGACGTAATCTCCCCAACCCTAAAAAAAAATTAAATTAACTTAAAGCTGTTTTATATGTAATGTAATATATGAATTGTATTTCAATCACAATTTTTCTAATACAAATGGTTTATTGATACACTAAAATTAATTATTTGAATACGTTTTGTATTAGATATACGCTCCTGATAATCGGCGCTTCCAATGAGCGCACTTCCAGGTCGGCACTATAACTAGGGAGAACTCGGGCTAGATGATAGAAAATAGGTAACACTTTATCGTTCAGGCTAAATTATTAATATCCAAATTAAAATATCCTATTCCTCATACATTTTTTTAGTTTGGATCAGAGTGATATGCATTATCAGATATGATTGCAGATATAAATGAGAACCTTACATCAAAGTGACTTTAAAAATATCTTGATTTTGAGTAATTAATACATGAGGTTCCATTTCTTTATCAACGGTATAACAAATAGGTAATTTAGTTTCCCAACCCTAACTGGTTTTACCCAGCCATTGAAAGATTAATTGACCCTGAGGGTGGGTTTTCTCGGTTTCTGAAAATTTAAATTACATAACCTATTTCGAAGATCCAGGAATTAGGTATCGAGATTCTAACATTATGTGTTAAAAGACTCCTAATAATTTGAAAATATATTTTTTTTTTAACTTTTACTTTTTTATTCATACCTGTTATAATGGTAATGACAACCGGTGAATGAGATGTCTATTGTAAAATATATTGTCATGTAAGGCATGAGGGAAAACAGTACCCAGCGGAACCTCCTCCTGACGTGTAAATATTAAATAGAGATTTCATTTGAGTTGCTCTTTAAATAATGTACATGAAAATCAACCTCTGAAATTCAGGTTGCCTTTTCTATGAAGCATGAGAACCGTCAATGTTAAGAATATTGGTTTCTTAGAGGTTTTTGGTGTTGCTTAAAACATTTAATGCATACATTAACATTAAAGAAAGGAAAGCAATAGATGTACAGAGACTCTTACAGGTTGTGAATGAAAACACTCCACAAAATCCATTTTCGCCGTCTATGAAGACATGAAGTTATAAAATAAAAAAGAATAAAGACCAATACTCAGGCACTCAACGTGTTCTGTCACAGCGAAAGCCCATTTATTACCCTTAGCGAACTTCCTATATAGTAGTAATACCCTGCTTTTCATTATTACAACCATATTGAAAGCGTTCTGTCGCAGCGAGCCATTAAAAGAGATCGTCGTAGATGGCGTCAGCCTTTCTTCATGATTGGAAGTAGTTGAACCTTCAAATCTTCCTTTATTAAACCCAGTTTATTCTTCAAACTACAGCCTACGGACCACAAGCTTAGATTATATGGTAACAATTTTAAAGAATATTTAAAAAATATGAAATTTAGCTACTTACTCACATAAGAGATTAATACATCATGCATTGCATGTTTTTTTTTCTCTTAAAAACCTCATTTCTCAACTGAAGCGTCATTTGTTGAACATGATTTTTCATGATTGTCATGATTACTCGTGGGACTTATATGGAGGTCACAATGCGGTCTGCAGATTTAGTGCAGGGCTCAGTGTCGCTCGCGGGCCAAAAAGTTTGGAGACCCTTGCTCTAACCCTAAAGTACCGTATATCCACTTTTCACAAGAACTGATGATAGAACAGAAGATAAATTTTCGGCCACAAGTGGTCAAACTTAAACCCAGGTTTAACCGCCCACTGCATTGCCAAGCTGAGATGTACCGTTCTGTAGCAACCAAATTAATGAGCATGTTCTGCTAACTCATTTATAATCTGAAACTAAATAGTGTACCTACGTTCTATCTTCAAAGAACTTCAAGTCTTTATTTTTCCCTTTTAAGTAAGATACAACTACTTACTTTCGCAAAGAATTATGAACGGTCTGGACTTCTCGAAAGAAATAAGTTCATGAAATAAAACGAAAAATATATCAAGTCATAGATTCTGTATGCTACTTTCTCGATCACTTTCAAATAGGTACCAATACCACATATTGTGCGCATTACATTGATTTTTTTTTCGATTTCGACCATACCTTTTGCTATTTCGCACTACCCCAATGACACAAGGCAACCCAGATCTATAATTATTGCGTACTTCCGCTGGCATTCAACAGACATCCACTTATGCCCGAAGACAAGGCCGGCAGTAGCCGGGGTGGGGCGACTGGTGGCAATCAGAATCGAAGATGCCCGCGTTACGCAAGGGGCTATCTAGGGTCAGCGAAGATACAGAAGGGTTTAAGAACCAGCAAGATCCGGGAGTTCTTCAGTACAGCTCTTCTTCCAACAGCGTCTTCACAGGTCAGTAGGAAGGCTTGGTCCTTTGTTTCTACAAACTCGCCAGTGAATCAGTTATTACTTCCCCTAACAGGTGGGTGTTTCGAAATCATCAATTTATGGTACATATTCTAAGGTGAATAAGATTTGGAAATTCATTAAATTGGTCATTATGAACTGTATAAAGCTCTTCAAATAAAACTATTGAATTTTAAGCGCATCTTTAGCAATTTGTTCATATAATATCGAAACGAGATTACACATATTTATTTGAAATAAATGGTTTTCAACTTGTATAGCAATCACCCCAAGAAGTAATTACACCTTTTATTGATTGATTTGGTTCCATAAATGTCCTGAAGCCAGGTCCTGTTCCGATTCTGAAGTCTTACAAAAAACATACTATAAAATTTCATGGAAATTTGATTATTTTTAAAAATCTCCTTTTATATTTCTGAGATAAATTCCGGTTTTTTACATCGAAAAATAAAAAGCATCTGCTACACATTCCACCAAAAGATAAGAGCTTGTGAAACCACTGGATTAGAATCGAGGATGAACAAAATTGTTTACCAGGTTCAATTTGCCACTTAGCATTGTATTAATATGCAAATATTTGTCAAAAAAAATTTACAATAGAGAATTTATATCCCGGATGCTACTGAAATTTATCACTCGAAGATTAGAATATTTTGTTTCCTGTTTGTGGCTAAACAATCCTCAATTACAATAAAAAATAATATTTTTTATTAGTTTTTATTTTCCAAAAGGTTTGTTTAAGTTTCTGGATGATTTTTTTTTTAACATTTAATTTCAATGTATCAGTTTTGGGTTTGGTTATCAATAATGGACTAACGTCAGCTTTTTTTTATTATTTTTTTTTTTGCAAACCATTTCGTGCATATACTTTGTTTTGAAACTGACCTCCATAATTAATTTTATAGTAATGTGATATTACAGAATGTATATCCATCCATTCAACAGAGTTATGCAAAAACATATCTAATATTAATTTAATATAAATATAAATGAAAATTTCGACATGAAATTCAATTTAACCAGGAAGTCAAAAGCCAATTTTTTTTCAAATGTGATTATTTATACTTAATTTATAGTTTAATTAGAATAAACATTGTAAACAGAAAAGTACCAAGAGGGTTGGGTGCGTTCTTCTAAAACTAAATCATTTAAAAATGCCATTGACATGGTTGCAGTGGCGGAAATTTTTGAGGAGGGGGGAGAGGTGCACTTGTGAACAGGTGAATTCCATACTCCAAAGGTATATATATATATATATATATGCATATATTATATATATATATATATATATATATATATATATATATATATTATATATATATATATTATGTATATGCACCATAAAAGTTAATTGTCAAAATTCCTTTACTGATTAATTGACGTCTGTAAATCTAAAACACGACATTATTGCATAAAGTTTTCCACAAATTCAATTTGAAATAGTTTCCAGGGTACTAGCTTCCAAGCATTCTAACTATTTTCAGGTACAAACTTCAAATATTTCGCCAATAAATAGAAAATGTATCATGTAAATATTCAGATGTATTAATTAAATTATTAGTTGTTTCGAGTGCAAGTATAAATAAAAATTAATTGTTTAATACAATTCACTTTTCAATTAAAATAATAATAATGTTTAATTCCTTTATTCGAGTTAAAAATTTTCTCACCTGCACTCCTGGCGCAAGGATCTCTTGGATCGCTGGTGTTTGGTTGATATTCATTTTAACTTTTATCATGTTGAGTAAACCTTATTTGGTTTCTTCAAATCTTGGACTGGTCACTTTTAATTATGATCAAGTATTTAGTACGAGTTTTAGCATTTTATAGGTTCTTCAGAATTTTATGTTTATACATATAACTGATTTTAGAATATTAATTTATGATAATTCCACCCATCTTAACCTCCGTGCCTTCATATCAATTTGTGATTATTGTAAAGGAAAATTAATGAGCTACTTTTGGAAAATTAAATATATGAAATTAAAAAAATATATATTATTTCTCCTGAACGGTAGGAATTAGGGGCGTCCAATTCGGGCGATATTTTATTTTTAGGTCATGTAAAAAATATTTTTCTCATAAACGTTCATAATAATAGTTTTCATATCTCTCTCTCTTTTTCGTTTACTCCCTACCAGGGCATTTTTATAATACAGTGGGAGAAGTTAGAGTTTATTATATAGAAATTAGAGTTTATTATATAGATACAAGTCGAAATTAGAGTTTATTATATAGATACAAGTCGAAATTAGAGTTTATTATATAGATACAACTAACCTATTATTATCAGAATGAGAACCACGTGATCCTTTCCGTAGGCTCGCCACGAAATAAGTTTCAATACCCCTAGGCCGGATTAGAACCGACACCTCTAGACTTGAGGTTGGCTTTCATCCATGATGGCCTCGCGTTGTCATAGAACTGTATACATGTCCAACAAAAAATATTTTCCTGTTGGACATGTTCTTAGAGATGTTGAACATTTTTTTAAGTTTCTAGAGAGATAAGTTTTCACATCGTCATGCATTCATACGTTATTTATAATTATGTTAAAATAATTTAAATAATCTAATTTTTACTGATAGTACAAAGCTACTACCTTAATCTGATGTAATTGTGTATTTTTCATGAACACAAATTATAAAGAAATATTAGTCTGAATTATCTTCATTTAAATACAAAAAAAATAAGATTTTAATTTTTGGGGTAAAAAAAACGTAGTGTTGCCCAAAATCCGTCTTGGTCTTGCAAAGTGCCGCTTAACTGTTGCAAGATCAAGACCAGGACTGTTAAAAAAAAATCGATTTTTGAATAAAAATTAAGGCAAAATAGTTACTAATACTTGAAAATCTTAATTACTATTTGTAAATAATTGGTATAACCAATATACTTTTGCGTTTAACTCCTTTAATTTTTCATTCGGGCTTAGTTAGGTTTCTCCTATCTAAAAAAATACAGTAATATCTCTACAGTAACAAGCTAATAAGTAACTGCAAGAGTGTTGCGAGACTCTAGCGCAAGACCAAGACTGAGTTTGCAAAACAAATCTGTATAAAAAACCAATATCGTTTAACTTCATTATTTAATTTCAAATCTTTTTTAATCTAATTTAATTTTTTTTTAATTTCTGACATGATTAAAAACATGTACAACTGGTCTTTTTCAGAATATTTAGTTCATAGAGAACCAAAAAAAAAAAAAAAAAAAAACAGCAGAAAGAATAAAAGTGATAAATGGAGGTAGTTGAGAATCAAGGTTTTTTAATAATTTTTAGTCGTTAAATAAACATATGAGATTATGGAAATCCAAACAAATGTCGGATTACAAAATGATCTCGAGTACGAGTGTCAACACCCTCCAGTAACCGCGCCCCAGCTCAGTGCTCTGTCACATCTGCTCAATCAAAGATAGTCCATCAAATTTAATCCTTCAGGTAATTCCCGTTGATTCAATACCATAGAGTGGCGTGATTTTTTTTTTAATGGGAATTAGCTTATAAGGCAATTTTTGAAGAGCCGGAGATAAGATTCATTTATCAGGTGTGTGTATATATATATAATTATTGCCATCGCTTGGCTGTCAACATTCGGGCGATAGCACATACACTTCACATCTCTCCGATTCAGTATTTTGTTTTATTTGGTTGAGTCGGTCGCTCTAGTGCAGAATGACGCACTGCAACGGTTATATTGGCAAGCGCAACGATGCCTATACTCAACTTTACGCTTACGATGATGTTGCAGATCACGAGATGATTGGAGCTTTCGGGTTCTACACGAAGTTGTCCATACAGCTGGGCTTCGCTCTGGTAGCAGTAGCCCTACTTTGGCCTGCCATGCTCTCATACATTATAAAACAGGTGAGCTATATATTATCTTTAAACCTAGTTAGTTTCGTTAAACTTAGTTTTGTTACCATCCACATGTTATATTGACAGAGTATAAAAATTAATCTAAACTCTTATTATTCATAATGTCAGCCACTATGGCTTTTTTTATCGGCTATATTTCTTTTGTTTTTTATCTTTCTTCCTTACCTTCCAGATCAGTTCATCTCTATGATGAAATCCTCTGGAAACAGAAAAAAAAAAATAGCGATAAAGATAGTTTTCCCACGAGAAAAAAAAGAAGTAAATTAACCACTTTTCAAATTAGGTCCATATATTTTATGGCAACTATATACATATAAGTTTCCATTAACTTTATTTTGAATGTCACTGTAGAAAACCGAAGTCAGTAAATATCATTCACCAGTGAATGCCACCAAAAACAGCGAAAGATCTAATGTTTTCTATTTGAAATTTGCCGCTCTAACATTAACCGGCGAATATAGTTTTATTCTTATTTTCACTGAAAATCATTCTCCTTCAATGGATAATTTCTGAGTTAAACCATTCTTAAATGCTATCCATGTGATTCATCAAGCGGTTGAAACAAGTAATTGACCGTCATAGACTGTCTAACAATAAAAAATAGACTGAAAAAAAATCTTAACAGAAGCCTAGCAAATATTGTATTTTAAATTAAATACAAAAAACTAAAACAATAATACACAAATTACTATGATTTTTTTTTAAAAAACTAGAAGGAATGCTAAAAAATGCTAACGGACTAATTTGGAATTGATTAAAAGGAGAAGAAGTAGTATAAAAGTATTTATTAGAATGTGAATTTCAATGAATTTAATTATGAAAATAATATCTATAATGAGTTTCTCCATAAGTAATGGTCAGTCTAATTTTTTTAGGGGATAAATAGATCTATTATTTATTTTTAAAATACTGGATATGTAATTATATATGGTATTCCAGTTTTTTAAAAATCATTAATTTGCAGACAACTTCTTTATCAATCTTCAGTTTCGTCATTCACATCAGGCAAAAAAAAGGAATTCTGTGAATAAGCTATTGAAGAATTACATATATTTAAATTGAAACATAACCAGTAATGTTATAAATATTTTAAAAGGCTAAGAAAATATTTGGCTTATTTTTCAGTTATAAATTCCCCAATCCACCCAGTTCCATTTTTTAAAATTATTAATAGAACAGCTTTGATAATATGAGGGAAAAGAATTTCTTTACATGCCATAAGCCGTATTTTATAATCTAATACCAAAACTCTTAATTTAACAAAGAAAAAATGGTTTTGCAATTTTCCGCTTCAGATAATGTTTTGTTGGCAAAGAATATATACACACGCGCAAGGAAAGATTAATAAACCAGTTGTACAGGTTGAATAAATTTTTTTTTTTAAATTGTGATTCACAATTTCATTTGGAAAATAACAATCTTAATCTTTTCAATGAAATAGTGGTACTACATATTTTTTCTTCTTAATCTTATCAGTGATTCACCCGATATCGTCTGACACTGAATGTAATCATAAGATCACGATTGTTGAAAATATCGCATGATCCTCCAAACGAGGTTGCAACTACTTGTGATATCTTGTTTTCCATTTGGTCTGGAGGGACTGTTACCCAATCCTATCTTATATTTAAATTTAAGACATACTATTTTTTTTAAAACAGAAATTTTCGTTTTCAGGAAATGCAGTTGTCACCGGGTTCAAAAAGTTTCCAACACTGGAAGGAGACTCCGGTACCGATGTACATTGACGTGTATTTTCACAACTGGGAAAACCCGTATGACATCCTTACGGAAAAGCCAGTTTTCACTCAAATGGGACCATACAGATTCTAGTGAGCATTCATTAACATATATTATGTCAATATTAATAAGCTGAGTTATATATATAACCTTCGGATTTGTTATCTTTGATTAATTATATATAGTTTTTTTAAATACTTTTATTATTATTATCGTTATTAATTATATAACAATGGATGCCTTTGTTTAGCGAGAAGAGAACTAAAGTTGACATAACGTGGAACGACAACGGCACGGTCAGCTACCGCCAGACCCGACATTGGTTCTTCGATCAGGAGCACTCGAACGGGACCCTGCAAGATCAGGTTACCAACATCAACATGGTGCCACTTGTAAGTATCACACTCTCAGCGCATGCTTATCCTATTTTCGATCTATACTCCTTAAATACTCAGGCGTATATGACTAGACTTTTTAAGTCTAACTCATTTTAGCATGTGTCTTCCTAATATACAATTTTTTCTTCAATCATGGAATAATACCAATATAAACATATTTTAATCAAACAATTTTTAAGCTATCATCCTATAAATGTCCTGAAAACGTATTTTTTTTTTAATGTATTTATTATTTTTAATAACGGTAATTAATTTTTTTTGGAGTAGAAAGAAACTGTACTAAATAATGTTTAATTAATTCTTGAAGGTCTGTAAAAAAAAATTTGTTTAAAGAAACAATTTAGGGATAAACCTTTAATCATAACCTTTATAAATTGCTGAAATACATGCGTTATAATTTAAAAAGAGTACTCGTTTTGATTATTTGAGTATTTAGCTCAGATAACTCACAAAAAAAAAATATATAGAGCAATGAAAAAAAATCATTTAGGGGGAGGGGAGAGCTTTAGTTGAAAAACCTGCTCCCCTTTCAGGATCCACCACTGTCCATAGGTAGATTGTATCATATCAAAATTTAAAAAAAAAAACATGTAGAAAGTAGGTTTTATTTTCTGCTTTGTGATCGAAAATCAAGGATTTTAAAATTAAAATGCAGTTCAGCCTCATGGGGTTTCTATAAGGGTATAGAGGATATCTTTGATGCGGAATCCCTTCTACTGCATAAGAAAAATGTAGTGCGTAAAAACAGAAATAGAAAAATAATAAAATCTTATAATTGAAGTTAATGGGTAGTTAAAAAATATTCTATTTATTGGAAACAAACCTTTTGTTTTTCTAATTTAGCTTCGGATATGAAAGCATTCTACTAACATGATCGAACTTAATGCTATGCTTCCATCAAAGTCTCGGATGGTTGAGAATTCAATATTAATTAATGATCCGTTCGTTTAATTCGCATTTATTGTTATCTATATACTACATGTATTTGTTACACTTACAAATTTAGTAGTTAATTTTATTTGAGAGATGAGGAAATTAAATAAATATAAAATCTATATCAGATTCTCTCTTTCTCTATTTATTTATTCGTTGTGATCTAGAGACCGAACCCCATAAACATTTATCATGTTTGCAACTGTACGGGTCGCCGTCAAATTACAAAACTGCGCAGTTAAAGTCGCGGTTAATTATTGCAAGCAATCTGTTTGTCAAATTGTATCAAGTGTGAGTTCCCGCCCGGTGACTATTTTACCAATTAAACCTCATTAACAAATATACCTCCACCGAGAACTCGTATTTTGCCACCTGGGAGCAAACCTCATTTATTAAATTGGCTTAATTTTCATTTTGAGCAGTGTTTCATCACGGCTACCGTTTTGTTGGGGGGGAGGGGGAAGGGAGGGAAAGTAACAACCCTCCTGACAATCACACGTTAGTGAAATTATGACAAATTGTGTGTCGTTAGTAATGAGGTCCCTAGCTCCACATGCGTGCGGGATGTTAATTAAACTGATTGTGTTTGATACTTTCTGATTGGTCCGGGGGGCGGTCGGAGTGGAAGAAACTTGGGGATTGGCTCTGTGGGTTGAAAGCTTTCGTTTGTTTGTAGCTTTGCCGGAATTAAAGTTTGTCTGTATTAAATTTCAGTAACGAGTTAGTTTAAATGAAGGGGACATCAATGAAATGTCATATTAATATACTAGTTCCTAATGTGATTCTATTTTGAAGTTTAGTCTCAGGAAACGGTTAATTATTTATACCCTAGTAGTAAATCAATTGAACATTCGATAATTATACCTCAAATATTTTTATTTTCCATCTTATTTTTTAATTTTTGAGAACTGATAACCAATGATTTTTTAAGGGTTTGGCTCACGTTTTCCGTTTCAAGAAAGAGTCTGAGAAGAGAAGCCTGTCGTACGCTTTGACCCTGATGAACCAAAAGCTTTGGATGACGAAGACCGTCGAGGAGCTGCTCTTCGAAGGGTACCATGACAGCATTCTCACAGTGATGAACCGCATGCCGTTCATCACTGGCGGCGTTCAAGTTGCAGACAAATTCGGTTGGTTCTATGAGGTAAGCTAATATTATTACTAACTTTTTTATTTTATGTGAACAATGTTTTTGATTTTTATACTCAATTGGTTCTTTTCTCACTCAAAGTAAGACAGCTTATAACAGAAAGTTTCTCGATTATTATTCAAATAGTAATACGGTATACTTTTATCATGAGAAATAATTAATTTTTTTTTATACTAATTTGTTCTACCACACCTAAATAAACACTATCAGCCTCTCCTTCAGATTAAAAAAAGATATCTACATAATTAGAACTATATCAGTCTTCTTATCGGAGTCAAATTAGGTCATTATAAAATCATTAGTTGATATTCTTTTTTCAATGGAAGTTATAATTAGTCTCTAACAGTTCATTTTAAATAGGCTCAGCGGTTATTTAGAATATTTAAAAATAATCTAGTCGAATAATTTTTAGTATATTTTCAGGAAGTAATAGTGCATATATTATTAAATAAGTATTAATTTAATCGATTTACTAAGTATCGTGGCATTCTGATTTTAAAGTTTAGAAGTAATACCGTTTCATAAGGATATTTGATTTCAGAGGAATGGATCGAGGAGTGTTGACGGTGTCTTCAACATGGACACGGGGGCCAATGACATCAAGCAGGTTGGCCATATCAAGTCTTGGAACTACGAAAACACAACAGGCTATTTCAAAGATAAATGTGGCAAGGTTGACGGAACTTCCGGAGAGGTCTTCCCTCCATATCTCTCCAAAGAGGACACCATCGGACTCTTCTCCGGAGACCTTTGCCGGTAAGGATCACGTTATTAATAGAACTGCTTATTATGAGAAACTGTAATAAATCAGCTCTATAATAACGCTTCTATTCTTTAGAACCATTTACCTCAGCAACGGACAGGAGACCTTGGTGGAAGGCGTTAAGGGTCTTCGCTACGCTGGAGGAACCGATCTGGTGGACGCTGGAGCAGTCGACCCCAACAACTCCTGCTTTCAGGAGGGCGACCCAGTGCCTCTTGGTCTCCTCAACATCACCAGCTGCAGGAATGGCCTTCCTGTCTTCATTTCCTACCCACACTTTTACCATGGTACAGAAGAGTTGGTGAACAGCGTTGAGGGCATGGAGCCCCAACAGGAGAAGCACGAGTTTAGCATCACAGTAGAACCAGTGAGTAGGCTTTTTTTTTATGATTCAATTTTTAATCATTGGATTCAACTAAACCTAAACTAATGAAGGATCTAAGGAGAACAAACATGTATTGCTAGATCCATTTAGGCTCGGAATAAACTTGTTCAATCTTGATTGTATTCTTGAGTTGAACTTCATCCGAGAATTACGGATAGATTATAAAAGAGTCTTTTATTAGTGAGTCTTACTCTTTACTTAACATGTCCTGATCATAAGGTAGAAGACGGTAGTAAAATGAGATTTTATGGAACGCTTATGAAGAAATAAAAGTTGTTATTATGCAGTTGATGATGCATATTTATTTAAACATGTTTTGTTTTTCTGGGACGGTTAATGAAGATTGATATTAATTGAACCTATGATTTCAATTCGTTTTACGTTATTGAATTAATGCTGCAATTTCTATTCAGAAAAAAAAATATATATATAAAATAAGTTTTATGCAATTCAGGTGATTGATAATATCAAACACTACTATTCCAAAATCATCTAAATTAACGGATCGATGTTACCTAATATAATACCTAATAGAATGGGTTGCTTGTACCCAATATGGGTTCATGGGACCAATCGTTAAAAACCGTTAAGAACTTTTAGAAAACAAATCCTGTTGTTTTCTCTTTTTTTTATTCCTAAAAAAATAATAATTTTCAGAAAATAAAATAATTTATTTCTAGTTTTAAAACTAAATTTAAGCTAATTCTGTTTGCTTTTATAGGACGTTAGAACAGATAAAAAAAAAATTAATTTACCACAGCAAGCTTTTAATACTATAGTAATCTAATTTATATTCAAACATTGCTAACAATATTACATTTTGCTCTTCTAACAAGTTATAAATTAAAACAAATTGTTATAGATCTAATTCCACTATATAACATAAAATAAAATAAAAACTTACACAGCTTTTTTAATTAGAACCTTGCATAATGATTTTGCGATATGTTTTGTATTGAAAAAAAAAAATGATAAACTTATCACTAAAACATTAAGATATAGACTTTTGAGTATTTTATCAATAACCCCGGTGCCCCTGAAACTTGGGAATATGGTGTGATCGTTGAGGGGAATGGAACTATCCTTATCTATTTATCATTATAGAACAGGATTTGATAATTTAGATAGGAATAACATATCACAAGTAGCTAGGACTAAAAGAACATTTGTATTTGACTAAAATGAAAAGATAACATAGCCAACCTGAAAAAGTATTTTAATTATATGAAAGGGTAGACATTAATTTTTTTTTTATTTCTTTTTCATTTCTTGAAAAAATAAATTATGTGTTGGATAAAAGTGTAGTAATAAAATACGAGTTTTATGTTTTCTTTTTATAAAGCTCGATTATAATTCTATTTCAATTTTTTTAATTCCAAAAATTTGAATGCTCAAGCCATTGAAAGTGAATTAAGAATAAATAGTTTCGTTTAATTATTATCATGGTTTATAGCTAAAGCTCGATTCCGAATTTAACAGAATTTTTTTAAAATACTCATATTTAAAAAAAATCTATACATTAATAAAAAAAGAAAATCATTTATTATTTTTTAATGTTTAAATTTACATTTTAATTGTAATAATGAAAAGTGGTCCGTGATAACTAACCTAAACTAAAGTTCCGATAACTTTCCTAATCACTAAACGCCCATGAACATTATGACCTTTTCCAATTTTTAACTTTTCTGATGTCAAAATATCTTAAATATAATTATAATATAAAATTATTTTTTTAAATGACTAAGGCCATGGTAACCATGATAATCAAATCTTGCTATCTGTGGTGTGTTGTGGTTTTTATAATTTTTTTAAATTTTTGTGAACACGAGTGATAGTATTTTGGACCAAATAAAAAAAAAAAAAAAAAAAAAATGAATATATATAATCAGTTATATCTGAACTGAAGATATTTATTAAACAGATTAATGTGAATAAAATATTGTTTAGATTATTTAAAAAAAATAAAAGGTTCAACTCTCTGAAGTCAAAGTAATTATCCACCTTTTTGCATTTCGACTAAAATATACATTCAAATGTTTATATGAATGGAGGGAGAAGAATTTAAAATCTTTCAAATAATGGGGTATAATTTCTTTATTCTTCTAATTCTACAATAAACTGATTTTCGTTACTTTCCAATTATTCAAAATGTACTTAATAAAATGGAACAAAGGTAATCACCGCTGAAAAAAGAAAAAAAAAATCTATAAGCGTCGAATGAAAAAAAAAATTAATTAAACTTCTAATACTAATGAAATCGGTCGCTTAGGGAAATTAAATTGCAAAAAAAAAGTGTAAAGCTAAGCACAAAGGTGCTTAATTAAAAACGTGTTAGCGATTTATTAAAAATTAATTAATAAATTATTTATAAAAAGTGTTGATGAACCCTGGAGGTAATTATTGTTAGACAAATAACCCTGTAATCAATTTAAATCAAAGCGTAGCAATCACAGGATGTTATTTCACTTGTTACCTCGGGATTTAGCAGCGCAGGCCAGGCCATTACTAATAATTACAATTAAATCAACCAACTTGATTTAGTATATCTCATTTAGATGGGCCAATCACCCAGTTGATTGCGATTAATCTTTCAATTATTAAAAATGGAATTGTTTTTATTTATTAATAATTTTTTTTTTACCCAATACAATTTATTTTTAATTAAATGCGCTTCTAAATAATAAGACAGTAGTCATGTTATTATGTATGTGGAAAACGATTAATTGAATATTATATTCAATATTTGTACTCAATCTAACCAGAATGGAGTCTCTTGGCAATTACTATATAAACATTCAATTAAATGTACTTCTTCATGCAATAATCATCCCAGTACAGGTCAATAATTTCCTCTTCAATTTATGTTTCAGACCTTCGGAGTTCCTGTTGATGTCAAAGCGAGATTTCAAGTTAATCTGATGGTTGAACCTTCTGAGGATATACTGTAAGTACTAAAAAGTCAATTTTAAGTATTTTATTTGATTCAATTAATTGATTCACAAAATAAATTTCTCTGTTAATCTGTAACATCATTCAAAGTCAGTAATACACCAAAGTCGGTTTGATTTGATAATATGATAGTGGAGGAAATGAAAGACTAAAAGGAAAATAAAACCTTAATTAAGTCAATAGGAAATACTATCAGTGTTTATTCCAATTAATAGTTAACATGCCACTATTTATTCACGGGTTCGTATTTATATGTTGCCTCAGGATTTTGAGATCCAATTAGTAAAATTAGTAACTAGCTTTTTAGTTATCGGCAAATAAAATTTTGAATTCATCGTAACATTTTTCAGCTTGTTTTCGGGAAAGTATGTTTGTCACATAAATTAAAAGGATTTCAAGGGGAAGACTTTAGCCAACTTTCGTTAAAATCGTTAAAGCCGTTTTGGCGCTACAGTTTATAGCGAAACGTTTTTCGACCGTTATTTCGAAACGAAAGGCCGGATGGTAATGAAATGTTAAAAAACACTCCTGAATTCGATTGCAACGCTGTGTTAAAATTTAAAGCAATCAGTGAAGAACTTTCGGAGAATAGCGGCATTGAACAAAAAAAATTTACATTTTTATTTTTTTTACGCATATAAAATTATCGTTTAGACAGAAGTACTATGCCAGAAACTATCGCGAGAGTGTATGCAACAACTTCCCAAAGTTTCATGGCGATCGGATGAATGGTTTAGTAATGCATAAAGGACAAACAGACAGATAGACATACATTCATTGTAACACAAAAATTGTATATTAGACAGACTTGTCTAAATATACTCAAGTCAAATTGTAATTATTAAACTTGAAAATTTTGATTGATCCTGATATTTCTTTCGTAACTGTTACTTATTTTTATTTAAATAGCATTTAATAACCTTAGATAGTTATCAACATATTTCTACAAACCATTGCAGACATTGCTGCCCGACTAACAGGCGCCAGTATAGTAGGAAAACGTTTGGAAAAAAGTGGCAATGAGTTTATCGCATTTTTACGAATTATTAGATTTAATTATTAATTGCTCAGCGATAGTTAATCGGATCATTCATTAGCGCGATGAATCAGTCTATCTCGATTGCCTTCACTCATTATCTTTTATGAAATAAAAAATCTAAATTATTGTAGTTAATGAACACAACCTCGATTCATGTATGTATAAATAGAAGGCTGAATGATATTCTGAAGATATTCAGATGCGTTGCCGAATCCAAGGGAAAATTATATTTTGTTTTAAAATAAAAATAAGAATAATTTTATAATTTTAAAACTCATTTTTCCCACATGGTAACACTAAAGAATCCCACACCCACAAAGGTACAGTTTAATAATATTTCTCATTGTAGCATTTTTTTTACCGTTGACCGAGGTTTGATTTTCAAGTATTTCTTTCTTCACTTGCATTAAATATAACAAAGATTTATGAATAGTATTCTTTTTCTGCCATCCTATGGACAAATCCTGATGGAAAAGATTAGCGATTCAAAAGAAAAAAATCCGGCTCCTTTACAAAAATGTCTAATTAGGTAGATAGATTTTTTTTTTTTATTGAATAATAATACAATCTTCCATTTTTGGAGAACAATATAGTATTGAGGCTAAACGTGATTATTTGTATAATAATATACAAAAGAGAGAAAGGATACATATATACAAAAGAGAGGTAAAGGATTTTTTTTTATCGTTTATTATTTCCTTATATGCGTAAAAAAGAAAAAAAAAATGAAACACGCACTTTATCCAAGACACTGAATATTTTTTGCATAGATTTTCATGTAGAAATTTAGATACGAAGTAGAAATGTTGATTTTTATTGGCTATGTCATTAATGGTTTATAATGGATATAACCTAATAAACCTCAGTTCATGTAAAGGTTTTCACACATTTCCTTTAATAATTTTGTTATTTTTACCTTTTCTCTTCTTGCAGGTTGTACAGCGATGTTCCGCAGAGGTACTTTATGCCCATCCTCTGGTTCGACCAACGCGCCAGACTGACTCCGGTCCTCGCCGATGAAGTGAAGACGATGGTCAGCATCTACACAATCACTTCTTCCCTCGCCTTCTGCCTCCTCATCATCGGCACGATCTTAGCGGCTGCGGGTATCACATCGGCTTGCCGCCGGTTCCAGAAGAATGCCGTCACCAATGCATCCGCACCCTGCCCCTGTGGACCCAGTGTCATCAGCAGGATCGACGTTTAAAGGCTATCATCTTCATTGTTGGAGGATGTCGCGATAGATGTCCGTGTCCTATTTCGTTCTGTCTGCTGTGCAGATTTGTCTAAAACCTTTTCTGTGGGTTGTTATAGATCCCGTTCCGAAGGGGTTAAGTAATGTATGACGAATGAGAGATTTACGGTGAAAAAGGAATATACGATGTACGAGGAATCGGTCTTGCGAATGTTTTAACGTTGAGTGCCTTATATAAATTGTTTAACGAAATTTTATATTGATTATTATCCTCAAACTTTGAAAGATCTGATAGTCGGTTAGGTGCCAAATTTATTAAAGATTAAAGATTTCTTATCCATGCCTTACCTACGCAATTTTCTTGGAAATTCACTATTTTCTAACATCTTGGATAACTTTAAAATATTTCTGAAAAAAATATTAGAAATTCTTTAACGTTTCTTGAAATTTGATACGCAAATAAACAAATGAAAAACAATTATGACACTGTGAAAATGTTACGAAAGTAAATTATTTTTTATTTAATATTAGAAAAAATAAACGTAAAAACGTTTCTTACACCAGCATAGTAGTTTTAAAACGAGTTAAAATAGTTGGTATTTATTTGTATATATTTTAGTAATGTAAGGCGTTAAAATATTCTAATTAGATACTTTGCCATAAATGCTTTCTGGATATTGCTGTTGATTGCTGGAAATATCTGCTTTTATTATAACTAACATAGGAACCGACAAGCTTTGGAAGGTGATACTTTCAGCTAACATGTGATATTATAAAACTATTTAGCTGCTTAAAATTCGAAATTTTAATAAACTTACTTTCTATCGTTATCAACTAATTAGTACTTAGTTTTTTTTTTTGAGAAGGCATAATATTAAGAAATGTAGTAAAGTGTACAGTATTAAATGTGACCACTAGTAAAAATATTTATGCTTATTTTATTGTTATTTTATATTTTCGTATTTTTGTTACGACCAATAAATCATTAAAAAAAAACTTTTGTTTTTTCTTTTACTGTTATTAATTTTTATACTTTACTTGTAGAGAATTCTACACACACACACATATGTGAATATAACTATTGGCTGAACGACACAAGAGGGTAATAATAATAAATAGTATCAGTTTGGATTTGCTTTCTAAAGATTTAAAAGTGGAAGAGTGAAGAAAATTACTACGGACAGAGGAATCACAATTTCAGATGTTAGTATCTAATTGCCAAATCGTGGTTCATCGCTCTTTATCGAAAAAAAAAAATTATTATTCAGTGCATAATTTAAACTGTAGGAGAAGGCTCATTTCTTGTGTGACGGATTTTCATAATAATAGTTTGTACTTAATAGATCATACTTAACTAAGAAGCTTACAAAAAAATGTTTTAAGGGCCAGGTATTTCTTTTATAATCGGTTTGTGTATTATTATGTAGCATAATGATTCGAAAACCGTCAATACATTTTAAAAGATATTTTGAACGAACGCAATACGGCTTGGCCCTGTTCAATCGTCCAAACTCAATTCGGTCGACCTGTTTTTAGAACAGTTTGATAAAAGATCCAGGACAGCCGACACCTCAAAAAACTCTCAGGGAGCTTCTGAAAATATCTTGGTGTCATAAGCGATTTGGGAATTTTTGCGAAACTATCGATGTAATGCTATGAGTAGTCTGAGCAGTCTGGGAACTCAAGTGAGGATTTTTAATGAAAATAAATAGAGTTGTATAGCATTCTATGACCTTTTGTTCATTGTTGACCTTTTTAAGTTTCATTAAAAACAACATTTTTCCAAATTTTATGGAAAATTCTTAAAACATTGTGGTGATCTGTAATAAGTTGGGTGTTTAGGCCATTTTTACTATATTTCTTATTTTTTCCTCTATGGTTGGAGGGACAAGCCTTCTTCAGAGTTCTCTAGCCTGGTTATAAATAGTGTATATAGGTATTTCGGCTATTACTTTCCAGTTGTTAGCTTACAGCTTTGTTGCATCTTTGTTAATTTTATCTATCGTCTGTATTTTATCATCTGTATTTTGGCCTTCCTTGTCTTCTTTTACCTTCTATTGAGACATTCATTGTTAATTAGAGGCTCCAAGGTGGCTTGCTCTGCGGAATGTGCCCTGCCCATCTTAAATTCCTCGTCTTCATGTTATAGCATATTGACCGATCAGCTCTTTATTGGAATTTCTTCTCCATGTGTCAGTACTCTGATCCCAGATCGCTCTGGTTATCGTGCGGAGGGTTTTTCTCTCAAATCATTCAATACTTTTTTCTAGGGTGCTAGTTGGTGTCCAGATCTCACAGTCATATATTAGAACTGGTTTTATCATAGCATTGTATTCCCTTAATTTCAGATTTTTCGAGATTTTCAAACCTTTTTATGGAAGAAGAACGCTCAGTTTGCGCTTGATATTGGCTATATTTTCGACAGCTGGTCACTCATTGAGGATATTGTGGAGCCGAGGTTATTCAATTTTTCTACTCTCGGGGACGATTTGCCTTCTACGCAGAGATCCTGTTATCGGGCTGAAATTTTCGGCTTATCGTATATTTTGTTTTGTAGGCCGGTTTATTTGCTTCCCTTACCACAGTCTTAGCGATTTTCTCAATGTCCTCTTGATTACTTCCAAGAACAGCTAAATCGTCAGCATATTCCTGGGATTTTATGATTCATTCCGACGTGGACCACTCCATTTTCGTGTGATATGGTTCTTATCACCTTCTCCAGTGGTAAGTTGAACAGCATCGGTGATAAGTCCATCTCCCTGTCGTAAGCCCGTTAGAACTAAAAAACGATACTACTTGCATTAGGATTCGACATTTGTACAGGTCTTTGTCAATCTCAGCAACTTACCTGGAACTCACGGCTCAGTCATAATTTTCCAAAGAGAATTCCTTTCCACAGAATCATGGGGCTGTTTTAATCATAAATAGGGGGTGGACGTCCTGAGCTATTTCCCATCATTTTTCGATTACTTGTTTTAGGTGATGATCTGGTATAGCTTGCTCTTTCCTGAATCCAGCTTGGTAGACGTCTATTATATTTTTGACTATATATATATATATATATATATATATATATATATATATATATAAAACCTGTACCACTACAACCCATGAAGGGTCTGGGGTTCAGTACTATTAAGGGAAAGTACTGTTTCTAGGTCAACGGTTGTGCAAGGAGGTAATTTGACCGAGATTCACGCTCAACCGCCAGGTTTTCCCCCTTAATCAATTATTTAATTAAGGGTACCCACTTTATAGAGGCTGGGTGTGCCCCAGGAGGGACTCTCAACCCAGAGTCGCCCCACGGCCAATGAAACAGATAAATAAATTTTCTGCCATGAGCCGGGATTCGAACCTGAGACCTTTTCATTGGAAGCTCAGTGCCCTACCACTGAGCTACCCCACTCCCATATATTATATATATAATATATATATATATATGTATATATATATAAATATATTTAGTTCTATTACTTAGGGGTCCTATTATTAAAGCTTTAAGTGATAAAAACGAGAATATTAAGTTATAAACACTCCGATTCGCTTACATAATATAAAGAAATCACACAATTTATAAAAGTCAGATTTCCCTGAATAAGTCCTTGAAATACTATTGAAACTATGACGCTCCATCTTACATAAGTAGAATACATATAAAATAGTTTCCTTCACACCGAGGAATTCCATTAGATAGGAAGAAATGAAACGGGACCTCTTTTCTTCTTGTTTTAAATTTATTACATACGTGGCCTCTTTCTTCTTTGTCCTGCCTAACCTTCAAAGGAAAAGTTAAATCTGCCGAGCAATTTCTATTTCTCATACAAGCCGCTCCGCTTTATTACATTACGTTCTCCGAAGCGAGACGAACCAAATTATGTAATATATCAATATCGAAAATCACTCCATTTATATTTGTAGTAACTACCTATCATATAAAAAAAAATAAAAAAAAAATGAAATCCATTATATCTTCAATTTTTTGGTTTATTATTTTACATAATCAACCATTGTGATCGACCAAAAAATTCAAAAACTTAACCCCCTCTCAAAATTTGAGGTTTCACGTTTCAGGATGCGTAGAATTCGAAAAACGAATAAAGAATGTTTTGTCCATCCGCCGTCCGCCGTCCACGCATTTTCTCCGAAACTACTGGAACAATTGTTTTCTAATTTAGATATAAATTGTTTTGTAGATATTGTATATGTTTTTTTAAAGTTTACGAAATTTCCTAAAAAAAAAAAAAAAAAATGTTAAAATCGGACAATTATGAGCTAAGATATGGTCTTCGGTTTTTTATTTTATATGTTCTACTTCAAATGTTATACCCTTTATTTGGTTTTTAAATTTTGAATTTGTTACTGAAGTAATGCTATTTTTTTTTTTAGCATATTACTAATGATTAAAAAAAAAAGTTTAGTCCAATAATTGGATTCACCATTTATTTATTTTTCTTTGTAACTAGGAAGGTAATGTTACTTTAGATGTATAATTGTTGGAAATAATAAACCATTGTGAAATAATTTGCAGCGTTTTTTTTATTTTGAAAACTGGTCTATAAATAGTAGCGGATTCAAGATTTTTTTTTTTTTTTTGTAACGGTAATAACTCTTGAAGCGACAGAAGAAACCAAAGTGGAATTATGTTTAAGTGATCCTTGAAGTCCTGTAAAAAAAAATTAAATAAAAATAAAAACGGTAATTACAGGAACATTAATACTTCAAAGATAAAGTTTTTATTAACGTTTTTACATTTATTAGCTGTAAATGCCTTATAATTTAAAAACAGAACATGTTTTAATTGTTTAAGAATTTAGTTCAGATGACTCATAAAAACAAATATGGACCAATGATTTTATCGCCTTTATTTATTTTTTTTTTGACATGCTTAAAGGTCTTTGATTTCTCCTTTTTATGCATATTTGCAATGATAAAAATCGCTGCAAATTATTACACAATGGTTAACCTTATTAATTTGTTTTCCATCATTAGTAATTTGCGAAGAAAAATAGACAATACTGCTTCAGTTGATGTAACACTTTCAAAAAATCAAGCAGTAGAACATATAAAATATATTTAGAAAGCCATACCCTTGCACCAATGTCCTATTTGAAAGATCTTTTGGGGAAATTTAGTGAATTTAAAAAAAATTATATACATCAACAAAAAAGTGTATATTTTTTTACTTATTCGAGAATCTAATTCACTTTAGCACAAAAGCCACCCAGTGGAAAGCCACCCGTGGCCTACATAAATTACCTATTTTCTAAATAGTGGTTTGATAACCAAACATCTTGTTTTCCGTAGGATGTAACGGTTTATTTATTTCTCAGCCTAACTTCTCATAACCCAACGGATGTAAAGCTATATATTTTACTAAAAAAACAACTCCTTGCTAGGTAACATAGAGTTAAAGTCTAAGCGGGTATCAGTCAGTCAAACAAGAACATTATAGTTTGATAATGTGCTGTTTAACCTTTCCACCAAGGCAATGTACTGATTTGAATCCAATCAGAAATTGAAGCTTTATTCCATCTTGCCGTAGACCTATTTATGCCAATTATAGAAGCAAATATTTACCTTCCATCAATAGCATTCCACCAACGAATTTAGCTATATACCAGAGGCTATTGATAGTGAATTATTACAATTAATTGATTATTATCAAATAAATTGTATGATTTATTTAGTTAGTGTTGTTTTGCGTAATTGTGTACTACATTGTAATACAAGTAATATAACGTAATATCTTTTGAAAACTCTACATGCGTGAGAAGCAGTATTTTGAACTTGATTTAATATTGCTAAAAATAATTGAATGTTAAAAATCATGCATTAAGATTTTGAACAATTGATTTTTGTTTTATAAACTTTGTTACACAATAAAAAATGTCTTCATCCGTATATTGCTAATAGGCTAGGCATTTTAGCAAAAAAATGGGGGGGAGGGCTCAGATATAAGTTTTGCTATAGTTTTCATTTTCTCATCCTTTATGTGTTTTGTATTGCTGAACACGCATTTGAAGTTTTCTGGCAAAAATTTTGAACAGAACATTTTTTTTTGGGCGCTTTTTGACCAAATGTTGTCACTTTTTTTCAGTTTTCGCCCTATATCTCAAAAAACTAAGCCTTTTTTTCGTCAAACTCACTCTACAGAAAATTGAAATAGACAAAACTGCCTACATTTCTTATACAAACTTTTTTTTTTTGTAAAACTAACCGAATCGCCGCTAGAGAGCGCCCGAAAGGGGCCATATTTTTATGTCCGGTGAAATTTATCGATTACGCGGAAATCGCACTTGCTGTGATACTTAACAGTTTAACAATTTATTGCATTATACAATTTATATGATACAAAAGTAAATTTTTCATAAATAACGAAAAATGCCGAATATTGGGGTTGGAAACGAGCAACAAATAGCCTGGAACCGATCACCTCTCTACAAGCCCCTACTCCTGGCGAACTGCTGCGTTGGGTATCATGTAGATGCGTCGTCAAGACCTGTGCAAAAGTATGCAGATACAAAAAAAGGAGGCTCGAATGCACCAATATGTGCATCAACTTTGAGGGATCGTGCAATAATGTGACAATCAGGACGAACTAGTCTTCACTTTCTCGCCAGTTGTTGGAACCATCGAAGTGGGGAGTGAGTGGGTGGGGACAAAGATCACGAAGGTATGTATCATTTGTTTCCCAAAAAGATGACACTCACACACATGAAGCATAACTGTACCTGACTGAAGTACTTAAAAAGAATGTATCTTTTTATTTATTTTATGTATGGAAGCCCATATCTTCTACTCATTACAGAACTTCCACCATCTAAAAAAATAAGGATTTTAGATGAACAGACTGAAGATGATGTTACAGTTCTTTAAAAATCGAAGTTATGTATAACAGTATCTTCAAGTTGGGCAGATTACTCGGCTCGTCTATCAATAAATCCATGAAATAGCCTTTCCTGTTTGTTTCAGATGATTATGGCAGTCAACTTTATGACGGCAGCGATTCATCGTTCCTAACAATTATTATAATGTTATGCGTAATTTTACTGATGGCTAATGTATTATGAAACACTCACTAAACAAATACATTATGTTCATTTGTATCCATTTTTTAATTACTTTCCCTATATTCATTATTCAAGTAAGGTGTACTGGTTCCGCGAATGTTTTTTGGAGCGGCAAAAACGGCTGGTCCAGTGATTGTCAACCTTTTTATTTTGTTACAGCACATTTCAACGATTTCAAAATTTGGCGGCACTCAAAGAATAAGATAAAAAGAAATTTAATAATTTATGATAACAGTATGTTTATAAGGGATTAACTACAAGTAAATAATAAGAATATTTTTAATAAGTAATTTTGGATTTTTTTTTTCTTTACTATATATTTCCAAAATTTGGCGGCAGAAAAACATTATTTATGAGAAATGTACTGTTATATAATATAAATTGTATGATGTAATAAATTGTTGCAACAGTTAAATATTAAACAAAGCAATGGCGCTTTCCACGCAAACGGTGAATATGGTCCCCTTTGGTCGCGCTCTAGCGGCGAAACTGTTAGTTTTCCAAAAAAAAGATTTTGTAAGCTTTAATTTCGTACAGAATGGGTTTGTAAAAAAAAAAAAAAACGTTCCTTTTTGAGATATACTACGAAAACTGAAAAAAAAAATGCCAACATTTGGTAAAAAGTGCCCAAAAAAAACAAAATTTTGGGCAAAATGTTTGTCAGCAAACTTCAAATTCGTGTTCAGCGACCCAAAAAACATAATAAAAAGAAAATCAAAACTATAGTAAAACTTGGTTCTGAAAATCCTCATTTGCCTATCCTATATGCCACAGACTGATTATATAGCGCAGGGGTCTCTAAAGTATGGCCCGGGGGCCGTATCCAGCTCGCAAAAGCTTTCTTGTTTATATGGTAAAATTTAGAAAATCACTCACATACGAGGTTACTACAACATTTATTGTACTGGTTTTGTCTCTTAGAAAGCTCATTTTACTGATCATATGTCATTTATAGAACAAGATGTTTTTTTCTTATCACAAATCATGGCTCACGGTACATGGGTGGAGGTCTTAATGCGGCCCGCGGGCCAAAAAGTTTAGAGATCCGTGATCAAGTGAGACAGAAGTCAAAATATACTTATTTGAAAAAATTAAATAAAACTATGTTTATAAATTGGTGTAGTTAAGAAAAGATAAATTAGTCAAAATCTAATCAAACAGATGTTTAAACATCGAAAATTAAAGGCCAATTACTTAGTGCATTGTAAGTTAGCAAATGTTCAAAGAAATTCAAATCAAACTACTAATTGTAAATTTCGAGCTGAATCAGCTAGCTGATTAAATTTTTCAAATATATATTTAATTTCAAAAGATAAGAGCTCTAAAATATGAATATGAATATAATATAACGTCCTGATATGGGTGGGTATGTCTTTTCTTGTAATTCTTTCTGAATTTCGTTTGTTACTTTTTTTTCTTCACATCCTCTAAATAGAATTTTCTTGGCATCATCAACAAAATTAGTTCTGATATTGTTTTCTATGAGCTGTAGAATAAGAACGTTATTTGTATTTCATTAGAAACCATCATAACTATATTTTGGTAAACATCACTTCTGTTATCGTTGCTGTAAGAATCTAATAACTAAATAACTTAATTATTTATTGATCAAACAGTTTTTGCACTCAGTGAAGAGAAACTGTTTTATAAATACTGATATCTCAATTAATTTCTGAATTAATGCACATTTTCTAACTTTGCATGTATTTTGTTTAGGTAACGATGCCTTCGCGAATGTAGCTTTGAATGGACGAATCCTGTTTTGACAATTGGAATACAACCTCCATCATTCCTATCATTCCTCCGATTGGAATGGCAGTATCCAGTATTGTACAATAGCTGCCTCATTGTAAAGGATTCCCTCGTAACTTATTCATCAGATGGCTGATTCGCTGCACCCCGACAAAGCGCCCATTCTCGGGAGGTGAGAAAGGCGTCGATCGGAGGCCGCCGTTGGTGGAATACAGTGCATTAGCAACTTACCCCACCGAGGGACCACCCCAGCGCCCCTCTTTCACGGGCAACTGAGCACGGTAACCGATAGCTCCTTCGAGCAAGTTGACCATGAAAACAATTTCCACACCTCCACTTTCCAGCCAGCTGGTCATAATCCTTCTTGTTGCCTCTCTTAGCGGACTCCTTTCTCAGCGGCAACGGATATTCCCTCCATGCAAAACCTTTTAGTAGGAGTATTAGTACATCTGTACGGTCGGGAGCAGGTGTTGTCCGCGTAGGTAATGCAGCTTATGCGGAGGTTTAGTGTAGATTTTCTAGTTTCAGATTCCGATCATGCGGAATGTTCTGAAAGCTCCCACAAGCTGTTTTCAAAGTTTCTACGATTTGAAAATACATTACAAAACTTATGACTTCTGCAATCTTTATAAGGTGTAATACTCCTTTATAAGGTGTACATTTTTGTTTTGTTGATTATAAAAAAGTTAACAACAAATTGTTCGGCATATACATTTTAGCAAGATTTTGAAAAATGGATTTATATTTTATTATCACCTTTAAGATTTTAGATATTTATTTATATTGATATGAATTTGATACCTAATGGTTGTCCGTTTATATAAAGAGAGAACAGGTACGGAGTGACGGTCTTTAAATAATTTTAATTATTGGAAATTATTTATTAAGGCTTCGTTACAACTCTAACCTTTTCTTTTTTTCCGATTAATCCTTTACCTCGCTATTTCTGAAGCGCGGTGTGGCTGTTCTAGAGGTACAACTGAACCTATTCTAATCAGAGTAGGAAGGTCGAAATTCATCGGTCCGCCAAGAATAAATTTAATCCGCCTAGGCTGGATTCGAACCGACATCGAAAGTGTGTGACGATGCAGTTTTTCATCAGGGCTTTTCTGACACCACTGGCGTATCCTCGGAAGGGAGAAACCCCTCCGCCCTCCAAAAAAAGAAGAAAATTATTTTTTTTTCTATTGGCCTTTTTAATTTATTTTTTCTGTATCTGTTTCTGTGTGGGTGATGTCATCTAAATGCTTATACAATATGTACTATACAATATTATATCGCACATACAGTTGCTTAATCTAGGAATATGTCAAGAATAAAAAAAACATAAAAGAATTATTATTCATAAACTACCTTTTATTAAGATTATTCTGAATGTTTCTTTCTTTTTCTTCCAGAGTAATAATTGTTATTAAAAAATAAAAGCCTCCGCCAGAATTAATTCCAAAATCTGCTACTACCTGTTATAAACCCCTGATGGAGGAGACCTGCACAGCTGAGTCGATAAGACTTGGGAAATAGTTTCCACTACTTAAAGTAATTTCATGACAGCCTCTTCCGTCTATCTTTTCTCTATCTATATTGAATTGAATTATGCGATTTGAGTTTAAACAAACAGAATTTCTTAGCGAATCAATAGTAATCGTATCGTTAGGCCTTTTGTCCTTTCGCTCACTTTTAGCTTATAACAAGGATAATGAAAGATATTGTATTAATGGATTGAAAATAATAATTTAAAAATATTTAACATAGCGTCACGAAGAGGATGGTTAAAAGGAATTTACTAGCGAAAACATATAATAGTATGATACATTGTTTTTAGGACACATTGCAAGATGAAACTATGTATTTAGCTTTATCTCTAAATTTAATAACAGGATTAAATGTACTTGAATAGCCAACCGTTCAATACACAACTTTGATGACACACTAATAGTAGACTAAGCTCCTTCCTTTTTGTACAGGGATCTCCTTTTAAAAAAGAAAAGGCCGAAAAAGAAAGAAGGCGGTGCGATAGATAGATGGCAGCGTCACTAAAGGGGTTACTCCCTCCAGTGAGCTCTGACCATCGGAGGGGGTTCCATTTCAGTTCCGACAATGCGGGATCCATGTGCTGTATCCATACCCTGCTACTGTTCTCAGCGGGCATTATCCTCGGTAACCATCCACCACAAGATCGTGGGCGGTCTTTCATAAAGACCTAGAGGTCAAGGGATTAACTAGTTCGGTATTCTAGGAATCATCGATCGAATTTCGATTCTGTTGTCGATTCCAACTAAACAAAAACAAGAACATAACAAATAAATGTAGTACCATACAACGTCACAATTGTTTTTTAAAAAATATTTTTTTTTAAATTTAAAGATCCAACGTTTCTCTTGAGTTATTTTTTTTGAAATTTATTTGTCGGATTGGGGCTGGATGGATAGGATTCGTTTGGGTACCATTAATCATACACTATTTGCTGATTATCAAGAATCTCACTATAACTTTCGAAATTGCTGGTGCGAACAAAGATTTAACTAACAGATTCAGAATCTTCCAGAACTCAATGAATAGCAGACTAGCAGTTGAAGCACAGAAATTTTATAGTTAAAATGAATAAAAGCCATTATTTAGAACCATATTTCCTAACTATTTCACAAGCTTGTACAGCCTAACACGGCTTATTATTTAGAGAAACATTTGCTAATAGCTAGTTCATTTTATTTTTAAATAGAAAATTTATTCAAGAAATAAAGATGATAAACGAAAATTCTAATCTAAAGGCTTCGTCCACTAGGTCGGTGATGCGTGCCGCGTTTCCCAATAAAGTAATACTATTGGCGCATGTTACGGCGCACAGTGGGGCAAAAAACGTTATTTCTGAAAAATTCTTCCTATTGTGTATAGTCAGTGGTACAGACCCCCTTTTATCGAATTATTAACATCCCCCTGAAACTTCATAAATAGTTTCGTAAATATGATGTTGACATAAGTACGGGTTTTAAGATCTTCTTAGTTAGATCCTTGTTATTCTTGTTCGTCATTGACGGGGCTATAGCCTGAGCAACTCGATTTAATGACTTGAAAATTTCCTTTAATATATATATTTTGGAATGGAATCATTTTGTATTATTTTTTGTGGATTGGAAGTCTTTACTGAAATGCTTATTTTTTCCATATACAGTGAATGGTTCAGACCCATTTTTATCGAATTATTAACATCCGCCTGAAACTTCGTAAATAGTTTCATCACATCGTAACCTACAACTATTTTATTTACGAAAACTCTTGTAATTGGGGCGTTTTCGACCTGGGAGGGGGGACAAACTTTGTCTATTTAATTAGGTACTAAAAACTCGTATTTGCTTTCTACTTGGATCGTAAGATAATATGATCACAAAAATGGTGCCCTGCAAAAATATTGGGCCGTTTGTCCTATATAATCTCGTTATTTTGAAAATTTGGCGGTGGAGGTCACGCCCCTTTCCAAGTGAAAATGCCCCAATTCCAAGAGTTTTCGTAAATAAAAAGTTGTAGGTTATGATGAGATGAAACTATTTACGAAGTTTCAGGCGGATGTTAATAATTCGATAAAAATGGGTCTACACAACGGACTATACCCAAGTAATTTCACGGACTAGTAATTTCACGTTAAAAAATTATGAAAAAAAGCAAATGCATAATTGGAAATCTACCTCTACAAATCTACATTTTGGGTTCATTGAAAAATTGCACAGGTTCACAAAATGTTTGCCAGACTGACAGAAAAATCCAAGATTTTCACCATCTCGGTCTTATGATGAGATAGGGTTCTGTGAAACTTGAAATGTAAAATTTTTAAGCATATTCGAGTGGCCTTTACCACCAACAACAACCATATATTGCTTCATATAGATCTGCTTATTGAGAAAACCAGTGTATTCTTTTGTTACGAGGATAAATAACTAGAATAATCGCATAAAGTTTTAGTTGTATATGATTAGTTTAAAAAAATGTACATTAGTTTAAAAATTTTGTGAAACACTAGATCCAGGGGAGAGGCCGCGCGGGAAACCTGCTGATTGCTTAAATTATTTCCATGAAAACGTAAATATCAGTATTAACAACATTTGGTTGGGCATTTAAAAATAAGGATCAATATTTGTAATACAGATCTTAGTTAAAACACGGTTTGATTATCACTTTAGATAATAAATATTGAAAAAAATCATCATTTTTAACATTTTTCTTTAATAAATAAAAAGTTCACTTATGCATTTATATTAATTATAACACATCCCAGGCCATAGAAAAACAAGTAAATTAATGCTTTTCAGTAATTTATTGTTGTGTTTTTAACTGAAAACACGGGTCCTTCTAAAAGTACCTAGATGTGACCTAGAAGTCTCCTAGGTGACAGGATATCAAATCACATAATTGTGAATATATATGCAACTTGAGATTAATCTAAAAATTTTCCCTAATAAAACTCAACTTAATTAATATGGACGTAAAGCTTATTAAACGAGGAAGGTTTTGTAAAAGTGGGGCATCTGTAGTATAGTTTAAGGGTTATAAAAAAAAGTGCAGATAATTTTTGACTTTTTTTTAAACCGAACTTCGCTGAGTTCAACCGCTCAATAGTCTCCTTTAAATGGTTTAAAAAATTTCAAACTCTATTTTCTTTTGAAGGGAATTTTATTTAATTTACTGCGGAGTAATTGTTAATTACTTAAATTAAATATTTTTGTAGTTATTAATTTTTATTTGACAAAAAACGTGACTCACTTAAAAAATTACAAATATCGAATTTCCTACATTTCTGCTGAGAATTGGGTCATTGTTTATATAAACTTTTTTATAGATCTTGATGTCTTCTATCATCCTTTTGAATATTTCTTCCTACATATGGGACATCCTGTATATATGGAATTATAATAATAAAATATACTACGGAATTCTCCCGATCCCTTTAAAACATTTCTGGATCGGAATTGGTGTTGGAGGGACGTTACACATGATGAAATACCTTCGCTCCTGGTTGTCACCTCATTCACTACATACTCCAACTACTTTGAGGGACTAATATAAAATACATTCTTCTTATTAATGGAACCTCAACATGGAGTAAGAGATTTACTCAACCTTAGTGTAATTTATATTAAAAGGCGATATTACCTCATGTTGGTTAAGTGTAGGAGGTTCCAGAAACGACGAGAATGAGTAAAGAAGGGATAAGGAATGTATGCTGGTTCATTGTGTAAAAGGAAAATGTTGCATTAAACGGCATACCCTTTCGTTATTAATAATAT